ATTTATTTGTTTTCCTTTCTTTCATATTTTAATTTTTATAATTTGTTTATTTATTATGTATTGTTTCTTTTATCTTTATTATCTTCCAGTGGAGTCAGAAAAATAAACTTAATTCAAAAAGAAAACAAGTCAAAATCGAAATCGAAAACTCACTTAATTTTAATAAATTTTTCAGAAAATGAGACTTAATATTTTCAGTCATTTTGCTTCTCAAGTAAATGCCTCTTGATTTAAGAATGTTTAGAGATTTGTATTAAAAAACTGCACTGTTATTATGAATTATGTGCAACAATCGCTATAAAGAAGGAGATGTTTCTAGACTCTGAGCATCTGTGTAGAAATAAAGCATCTTAATTCAGTAGAGTCACCAGGAAGCAATTTTCTCTCTTTCTTTGAAAGTGCTCTGCTAATTTGTCCTGGTTTTTTTGTAGTTCAGAGGAATTTGCTAAAACCAGGTCTGGAAGAACCTCCTCAGAGCCGGTCTCTCCAGATCCTCTCTAAAATGCCAAATTATTTTTCATTTAGATGCATATCTTTAGTTTCATACATAATTCATATTTTCAGGATCATTTCCATCCATTCAACATGCTGGTTTTGCTGCTGTACCTTTAAAGACTTTATGTAAATGACCTCTGTTATGATCAGGGCTGGTCATGTGGGTGTTGATGTGTAAATGTGGGCGGTCTTATGTTAATGAGCTCATAGCTGTGATGTCAATGATGATGATTTCTGAATGATTTTGTAGTTTTTTGTAGTTTAGTTTCCATAAACGTGAAATCAAAATTTGTTCAATAAAACAGAAACATTATATGAAAAACTCAAATGAAAATGAGAAATATTGCCTTGGCAGCTAACTGAAATAAGTTGAAGTACTAAAATGACTAAAGTGGAATAAATATAAAGTTAAACTTAAATATATATTTAAAAAAAAATAACAATTATAAAGACAAAAATGGTTACATACAATAGAAATATTCCCAAAACTTTGGTAAAATCTTTTTAAAAATGCAAACAAACTGGTGATTGGGTGTTGATGTGTAAATGTGGGCGGTCTTATGTTAATGAGCTGATCATTGTGATGTCATAATCATGATGTTTTTGTACTAGTTACAAAACATCAAGCCTTTATTTAAAAATAAAAGTCCTTTAAAACACTTCAAAAGAATAATAGTCTCATATGATATCATATATGATATCTGATATCATATAAAGACTTATATGTTATACATTAAGATCCAAACGAGTCTGTTAGAACAGATAAACACGTAAAAACACAGTTTCTGTGTTCTGCTGCCACTTTTCATGGGGCCAATTTTCATATTCTTAACCATTCTGTGTGTGTGTGTGTGTGTGTGTGTGTGTGTGTGAGAGAGAGAGAGAGAGAGAGAGAGAGAGAGAGAGAGAGAGAGAGAGAGAGAGAGAGAGAGAGAGAGAGAGAGAGAGAGAGAGAGAGAGAGAGAGAGAGAGAGAGAGAGAGAGAGAGAGAGAGAGAGAGAGAGAGAGAGAGAGAGAGAGAGAGAGAGAGAGAGAGAGAGAGAGAGAGAGAGAGAGAGAGAGAGAGAGAGAGAGAGAGAGAGAGAGAGAGAGAGAGAGAGAGAGAGAGAGAGAGAGAGAGAGAGAGAGAGAGAGAGAGAGAGAGAGAGAGAGAGAGAGAGAGAGAGAGAGAGAGAGAGAGAGAGAGAGAGAGAGAGAGAGTGTGTGTGTGTGTGTGTGTGTGCTGAAAGCTGCTGTCAGTAGGCCGTCTGGTCCTCATCTCTCTTCTCACACACACGCAGCTTCACAAAAGAGCTCTGTGGCAAATAAACACCATCAGTCTTCTGAGGTCTCGGTTAACGACTAACCCCTAATTAACTACAAGACTGAGGGACTGCAGGAACTCCACCAGAACCAGTTTCCCACAATCACTCGGCCAAAACTCAGCATCCTGTCATCATTTACTCCTAAACATGATTGTCCTTCTCGCAGAACACAAAAGGAGACGTTTAGCAGAATGTGCAAACTCATCTTTACGATACAATGAGGCAGAAATGCATTAAAATTAAGTATTAAATATTTATAGTGCATAATAGTGCATGGAGCAGTGTTGTTATTAAAAACGAAAACTATTAAAAATCATTAAATTGTTAAATTAAATTAAATAGAAATGTTGTATAACTGAAATAAATTATAAATAAAAATAAATAAATTATGGCTAAATTTAAATTAAAAAAAAACTAATAAAAAAGATAAAAAATAAAATAAAATAAAACAGAAATATTAGCTGAAAAACTTAACTAAAATATATTAGAGGAAAAACTGAAAATTAGAAATATTAACATGGCAAACTGCTGAAATTAATTGCTAAAATTGCTAAAAAAAAATACAGCTGAAATAAAAATAAATTAAATCTAATTGGAATGATTAAAAAACTAATAAAAAAGGCAAAAAAGTTAAATAAAATGCAACAGAAAAACAGTAGATGAAAAACTGAAATGAAAATTAAAAATGTTGCCTCGGCACCTAACTGTAATAAATAAGTTAAAGTATTACAATTACTAAAACTGAAATAAAAAAGTTAAATAGAAATATTTAAGTAAAATTAATTAAAAAAAGTAATATTGTTTAATAAAATAGAAATATTAGATGAAAAAGAAAAACCTTAAATGAAAATTTGAAATGTTGGCAACTAAATGAAATATGTATAAGTACTAAAATCACTAAAACTAAAATTAAAAATAAAGCTAAATAGAAATTGTAAACAAAAAAATTAATAAAAAGCATTAAAAACTTTTACAATTTTAAAATTTTAAATTTTAAAATAAAAGCTCATTTAAAATATAAATCAATAATGATATGACTAATATTAACACCGATGTGGGCTACAATTCTAATATTTTTACAGGAATTTTGTTTGTTCTTTTGGAGCCTAACAGCCCCTGACATGAAAAGAAAGTGCTCTAGAAATACTGCTAAAAATCTAATTTTGTGCTTCTTAGGTGAAAACATGAGGAATGACATGAGTTTGAGTGAATAGTGATGGAATTGTGTAACCTTTTGGGTGAATTATTAATATAAACAAAACTACAATTCCCACCCAATCTCCATTCATAAAATCCTCCAGCACATGCATGTTTGTTTATAAATTATTTTAATAAATTTACCAATACTGTCTATTCTCTTTGCGCCGTTTAACCACTTTTTTTTTATTTTACCTTGTTAAAATCAGCAGAATATTCCATCCGTTTCTCTCTTTCAGTGTGTGACGGTAATTCACTTCTGCTTTTAAACAGAAAACCTTTATTAAATATATGCGGTCCGACGTCGCCTTCCGCTCTCCTTCGGTCTTTCTGCGACATTTTCTGATATTTGCATGAAGCCGCCGGGAGACAACAGCATCACCGGATTAACCGGAATTACAGAGAGAGAGATGCGCGGATTTCCAATCGTGTCCTTAAAACAAAAACAGAGCGAGAGGGAAGCAAACTTGTGCCAAATCACAATTCCTGCTGGATGTGTGTACTATCGAGGGAATTAGGGAGCCCACAATTAAGCATATGGGCATTAAGATAATTGTCAGTTGTGTTGGCGAACGTGATGGCAGACAGATGGATCAGACTCAGCCCGCTCTCCACTCGGCACCATGGGACATTACTTTGGATTTTACCTGCCTGAATAAATTCACAGTGTTTTCACCAACAGAGGAAGAAGAAAGATTAGAGGATGGAGAGAACGAGAGAGAGAGAGAGAGTTTGGCTCTGCTCACACACTACATACTACTCACACTATTTCTGTAGTGTGTGCTGTGTATAGTTTGTGAATTTTGATGGCATGCTGTAATATATTTGGTACAATGTGCAGTATACAGTACAAGAAACATGCTGTGCATGCATGCAAAACACTCCCACAATGCAACTTTTCAGCTTGACAATATATCTTTTTTTAATAGTATTTTAAATATTTTTATTTATGTCTCTTCCTTGACTCATTTAATATTTTTTTCAATAAATAATAATTTTAATTTTGTATATTTATTATTATTATTTTTATTTAGATTTAAAAAATAGAGTGCTTTTTAATTTATAAAAATTGTTATTTTTAACTTTGTATTTTATTGTTTTTTTATTTTTGTCTCTTTCTTGACTAATTACATTTTTATAATGTTTTATTTGTATTCTTTTTTCATTAATATTTAAACAAGAAAATAACATTTTTAATTAATAAATAATCATTTTAATTTTTATTATTTCTATTTTTGTCTCTTGTAACTAATAGAATAATGAATTTTAAATATATAAATGATTATTTTTCAACTTTTTGTGTATTTTTTTTCTCTTTCTTGACTAATGAATTTTTTATAATGTTTCATGTTTCCATTAATATTAAAAAATTAAATGTTTAATTCATAACTAATCATTTTAATGTTTTATTATTTGCATTCATGTCTTTCTTAATTCTTATTTATTTATTATTTTTATTTGTATTTAAAAAAAAATATTAGAATTTTTGCCAATTTGAGTAATTATATTTATAAATGGTTTTTATATATGTTTGTTTTATTTATTTTTTTCTCTTTCTTGACTCAAATCAAATTTAATTTAACTTTTAATTTAACCAAAACCTTCATTCACCTTGGAAATGGCATGTCAAGTGCATTGCATTATGGCATGCATTATTCTGCACAGTGTGTTCTGTTATATATTACACATTTTTGGAAATATATTATTCCATGCATGCAGAAAATTAGTATAATGTGCAGAATATATACTGCATACTACAGAAAGAGTGTACCCTAACAAAGCCGAAGAGAGAGTGAGTGATGGAGGCTGTAAAATGGAGGAGTGTTGCGGGTTTGTGTTTGTGAAGGGTTACAGCGCCCTCTGTTGGCCGTTAACAGTGGAGCGGATTGAGCGATCAGGCCTGTGTGAAACCCACAGAATGTTCTGGATGCTTTTATCTGCTGAAGAATGAATGCATTTGCATGTTTAGACGTGTTTGTGACGTCTCTCTCTGTGTTTCTCCAGGTGGGCGGCCATCGTGAGGACGGTTTGAGGAGCGGTCACTCCATCGTGGCCAATCAGGTGTCAGTACCACAGCTTCCTGTGTCAGCCACTTCCCCCGACCTCAGCCAGTCTGATCCGTACAGGGGTGAGCGTGACACACACACTCACTCACTCACTCACTCACTCACTCACTCACTCACTCACTCACTCACTCACTCACTCACTCACTCACTCACTCACTCACTCACTCACTCACTCACTCACTCACTGGGCACAGAGCGGGCAGAATGCCAGCCTCCTCCATCTGCCGCCATTTTAGAGCATCACAACACAGATGAGCCTGCAGTGGATTCCCACGCTCACTTTCTGATTTAAAGGCCACGGATAAAACTGTTTTCAACATTGATAATAATCAGAAATGTTTCATGAGCAGCAAATCAGCATA